TAGTTCCGTGCGCGGCTTGCCGGAGAAGAGCTCGGCGAACTTGACGTCGAAGTTGATGAGGTCTTGTGCGTACTTGCGCCGCTCGAACTCGTACTGAGATCATAGTGCGTGTGAGCGCCGTCGTCAACGGGGCGGAGATTGAGCGCATACCGTTTTGAGAAGGGAGAGGCCCGCCCATCCGCGTAGGACGTATACCAGTTTCCAAGCTGCCACAGTTGGGTCATTATAGACCACTATCGAAGATAGATTGTACGCACCGAGATTGTGGGTGTCGTTCATGCTGGCATTCATTCCCTGGCCTAGGATTCATTAGGAACAGCGTCATGGAAATGGGCAAGCGCTTACCGGCCTTGGGAGAATGTGTATGACATGCATCTCCCGCGATGAAGACACGGTTGTCGACGGAGAACTGCGACGCAACACGCTGGCCGACTGAGAGGGCTATTAAAAAATGAAGTACGGCGCAGAAAGAACATACTGATGTAGATAGTCCACCAGTCGAACTTTTCTGGAGTTCGGAAGACGTATGGGTGCATCGACTTTCTCGCGACCTGGTCGAGACCCAATGAAGATGCATCCGCAGCGAAAAAAGATCGAGCAAACCTCCAACAGCCGATGCGGCCCCATCCTCTGCTTGTCGATCCGGCCGCTGCTCGCATCCACGGCATCCTTACCTTCCAGCTGTATATACAACCGCACTTTATCGCCCTCCCTGGGAATGATCATACACGACCCGTTCTCTGAATGTATCGCCGTTTTGTTCCGGATGTCTGGGAAGTCCGTCTGCGGAACCATGTCGACTGTCGGTGCCAGCATGGATTTAGCGGGAGAAGCAAGCACTGGTGGCATTGAGGCGCTGACCTACGCCCCAGACGTAGTCCGTCTGCGACCCCTCCATGGCGATGTTGAATCGTTTTCGGACCCACGAGTGTGCGCCTGGGTGTGTATATTCAGCACTGGATAGCAACATTCAGGATGAACAGACCGTCTGTTCCAACCACAAACTTGGCGCGCACAATCTCGATCGACGGGGCGCCGTCCAGAGGGTCGAGATGTTTCAGCACGACCTGGGACTCTATCAGAATGGGATACACTGCACCCACCAGCATACTTACGCGCGCCGCGTACGCGTTCGGGTCACTAACGGCAATCGGGTCTAGCTCCAGCTGCGTCGGCACAACCGGCCGGGACACCTCCACGCCCTTCGCACTCATCGAGTCCAGAAAAATGCTCTCGATTGCGCCTTGGTGCAGCGTCACCTGACGGCGTCGTATCATTCAATCGCCGCGCAGGGCCTCAGTCCCTACACTTACCTCAAAGGGGTAGCGCGCGGTCGGGGCCGTCACGTCTGGGACACGATCCGTGAGCTGCAAACGGGAGCGATACGAATTAGAGCAGCGCCTGGATGCTGTGGCGGGGACATACCTGAATGCCGCCGTGCTTGCCAGGGTTGTAAAATGCCTATCGCGAGATCAGATACGTTCTGCAGCGAGGCAGGACGATACCTACCGCCATATGCATTTGATTCCCTTCCCTCAGTAATCGGTCGGCGAGGCCGTAGCTCTATACGCGGGAATAATTTAGAACGACGACTACGGTGAAGATGACGTTACCTGGAAGACTTCGATTGTGCGCGGCTGAAGGAGCTCGATAATTTTGTTTATCTCGAATTAAACGGGGCTTGCCTGTATGCCATCCGCCTGCCCCGCTGCGACCTTGCTTGGCCTGTCGTGAAGAGAAAAAATCAATCTCATTAAGAAAAAAATAAAAAAATAAGAAGGACTGACCTCTGGTCGACGATGCGCACGTTGACTCCGGCGCTCGCGAGCGCATTGGCGCACATAAGGCCTGGTACTATTAGCAGAACGCCGCTATCGCGAACGAGGTAGCTTCACCTGCTGGTCCCGCGCCGACGACCAACACGTCGACTTCAGTTTCGCGCACAAGGCTGGTGGGCATTGATAAGACGGAGGAAGGAGCATCCCGGACCCTGCATTTTATAGTAACCTGCCTTCTGTAGGCGCGTGTAAGTCGCTGTGGACGCGACTACCCGATCGGGAAGGTCTGTGGTATCATCGTTACCGAATGCGGACAGAGATTCATATATGAAGCGGTCGTCGGAGGAAGCAGCAGGTTCCAGCCGGTATGACGCATCGTGATACAGGGTTTCATTTCATTCATGGACTATTTCTACTAACTAGAATAATCAGTGCGGGGAGGGTACAGCAGGGAGGTGTCACAAAAGCAGCAGGCTTGAAGCAGTAGAATATTATACACGGAAGGTAGGGCACCTGACGGTGGCGTCAGCTTCGCTGGAGGGAGCCGGGAGAAGACTTACATCAGACTTGAGCGTAGAACACGGAATGCGAGTATGAGTCTTCAGCGCCTTGCCGCGTGGTGAGAATATCGTGGATCTGATAACTCGTCAATATATACTCCAATAGATAAAAAGAAAAGTACTTCGGTGGGCGGATCAAGACCAAGGGCGAAAGCGCGCTCCCAGCGCTCGAGACGTGTTACACCGACGCAGGGACCATATTCGTAGGACCTGCGGAATGTGAGGAACCACGAGGAGGAACATAAGAGGAAAACAGACAAATCGAAGACCCGGAGGATGTCGTGGAATTTATCCTGGTCTTCTGCGTGAACTAATTTCCAAGTTAGACTTGCAAGGTAGATAGACAATTTCACGCACTGAGCTGGAGATTGCCTCGTCTGATTTTGGCGGCACCATGCACACCCCGCCACCTCTTGTCCTTTTCGTCGAGCTCGAGGTCGCTTGGAATGGGTTTTTCGCGGGGGCGGGTGACTTTGACGACAACATGCTGTTTCGGGACGGCGGCTTTCGGAGTCACTTTCTCGGTGGGCTCGTCAGAGTCAATGACCTCAATCACGTCGTCTTCTTCCTCGGAAGACTCGTCGTCAACGTCGATCGTGTCGTTGTCTGAATGAACTACGGCGTGCTGGGAACGTGTCGGCGCGCGGTTGGGGACTTTCTGGGTGTCTTTGGAACCGGTGCGCTTCGCCGCTGAGAAGGAAAGAGTGGATTGCTGAAGAGAAGCAGAAGATTTGGACTTTTGAGTGGATTTAGGCATGAGTGTAAGAGGAGAACCAAGATGTCACAACGTGACCGCCGTTACTCGCTTCCAACTGCTTCCAACTGCAAGAAAATATTCGGTGTCCTCTGCAGCTTCAAATGCTTATTCCGCAGGCCCGATGGACATGCCCTGGAACCTCCCCCTGGTTCTGGACCTGGGTACTGTTCAAGACTATCCACGATTTGAACATGCATTTCAACTCTCATTTTACATCCACAACTTGTCCCGCGGCATGCTTAGCATGTCGCTCGGAGCTCCGAGCTGTGCGCAAGCTGGTGTATTCCATGCTATTCCATGACCATCTGCTTGTGACTGCGAGCGTCTCAATCAGCGAATCGTACTTACCAGCGGGCTCCTCGGAGCTGACCACTAACTGACCGCTGAGGAGTCCCCCCCCATAGGGAGACTAGACCGATCCCGAGATGGTCGAATTGAGATTGAACCAATAGTTGAAGTCGAGTGGGTCATGCACCCACAGTTCCGAGCTTGTGAACCGATTTGAACATCATAACGCGATAAAGTTCAACACACAGTGAAAAATCAACTGTGAGGCTGAATGTCGAGCGAGCCTCTAAGACTGAGGAGCCATCTCAATATGTCGATGACCTCCCCCAGACACGTAAGGACCCAGGCCACATCTCATTCTTGTACTTACCAGGAATGCTTCACCACAGTCCAAATATCAATGCGGTATATTATAAGCTGCGACGAATGCATCCCAAAACGACCGGTGAAAACTTGGCCCGAAGCAGTATGAATATTCCGCGGGAGGCTCAGTAACAGGCGTCACTGCTTATCGTTTGCTTGAGATAGAGGGATAAAACCAAAACCCCATTTGTTTTCAAACATGAAGTGCCCGTTCAAACTCAGTGTAACAAGGGCAAAAAAGAAGCCCGAAGGCATGCCAAGTGGGGGGAGGCAATCGCCGAACGATGAAGCGAACTCAGTAAACCCCGGCGGCGCAGATCGTACTTCTTGACCCCGAGCCTTGCAGGAGCCCTGTTTATCCCTTGGGAGGCCGGATACCGGGTTCGGATAAAATCGCAAAAATTTCGACTCAAGGTGGGAGGAAAGTTCGGGTAAAACAAGGGGTCGGCCGAAAAATCTCAGAGCAAAAGTTCGGATGAGGAGGAAAATTTTGAAAGAGGTCGGAGCAAAGTTCGGGTAAAGCTGTGCTTATTAGTCTACACATTTGACCCCGAGATCAATGTCGGTTGCTGGAGCTATTAGTAGACACTTTCGGGGCTGACTCGCTCAACTTACGACTACCGCACCGACACTAAGGAGACGTGTGATCTCGGAAGAATTTGTTGATTGGGCGCTCAAATTTCTCACAACATTCCATGGCGTTGAACGAGGCCATTACAGTCAACTCAAACGACGAAGACGCGCTACGCTACTCACGCATGAATGGGATCCAAACAAATGGATTGTGTGCGACAGACTATACCAGGATGTTCCTGCCGTGTTTGTGGCAGCTTGACCGTCGCGTCCTGCGAATCCCCCATACTACTTGCCTACCACCCAAGGACATGTCGATTTCCTGCCTTCTCTCATTCCAGCTACCACCAATTTCAGATACCAGCATTTTTGACATTGAGGAAGCTCAGGAGGATGAGGACTAGCATCGCGGGGATTTTTTACGGTTTTAGCGGCCTCAAATCTATTTTTTTTTGGAAAATTGGAGGTTAGATTCAAAGTTCGGGTAAAATCAGGTCCAAAGTCGCACTAGATGCAGAATTCGGGTAAAAGTTTGGGGTGGGACCGACCAAAAAGTTCGGGTAAAACTTTTCGGAGGGCCAAAATCGGTATCCGACCTCCCATGGGATAAACAGGGCTCCTAGCCTTGCCCACGATGCCACGTGAGTTCCAATTGGGCGGCCCAACCCGCAGCGTCCCTGATGCCTCCAGAGGGAATCGAACCCTCGACCATCCCATGGGACATCTCCCACATCGGATGGCTGTGTTACAGCTCGTTAACCAACTGAACCATGGAGGCATGGATATTAAGCACAGAGACGTCTATCCATGGGCCGTGTCTTTGTATTTGGACTTGAGAATTTTTCTTTCCGCCGATCGCCCATTGCGTTGCTGCAAGGCGACTCAATATAAAAACCAGTGCCCGGCGCAAGGCCCGGCGCGTCAAGCTCGCGGCGTCGCGCCTTGTCATTTGTCCAGGACTGGTGGCGATTCGAATCTCTGACGCAACACTGAGGCGAGATTTGTTTCAAGTCTCAACCCAGAAGATCGAATACGCTGGGAGAGAATTCTCTCCAGAGAATGTACTTATCCCCTCTCGCTCCTTTGGACTTCAAGTTGCGATTTCTGATCTGTCAAGGCTCGGATGCGATGATTACGGCAGAGCCTGACATCACGCGACCTTGACGCGACCACAGTTCTTTTCTCCTCGAACCTCCCGCCTCCTTCAAATCCTGTCTCGCCCGCGAAACCTCCTTCCGTGCTTTCTCACATCCCTTCTCTCCCGCCGCGCAACCCTCATCCCGAATGATTCAATGCACAAACTTGACGACTCAAACGCCCGGACCGGGGTAGATACGCTCAAAAGTGCTGTACAAGACCCAACTTATCACTCGTTCGCTTCGCCCGTCGACTCTATCCGGAACGCTCTCAAAGTTGCTGGAAGGAAGTGCTTCGGCTATTCTAGTAGCATTGTCTCCCTCTCGCTTTTTTTTGACGTGGCCGACGGACTCGACGCAGGTTCCCTACCTGGACACTACGAGTTGAGTCCTTCCTGCACGTCTGTATCTCGCTTACGCTGCCCCTACTCAGAAGACGTGTTCGTGGAATCTCAAATATTGCTCAAGCTACGACACCCCCCGGCGGCCCCCATCACGACCAGAGGTTCCAAAGTCCGGGATCCATTCCTTGTCTTCGTGAGTGGGCTATAGCAAGGCACTCAAAACCTCGGCAAGGCCTTGCCGTTTGTGATCCAGGTCTTCGCTCACCTCATTCGGGTCGCGATGCGAGCGTATAATGAGTATTGACCAGGCTCATTGATTTGCGCCAGTCGTCCAGATCACTTTGGCAATAAGCACAAGAGAGCGCGGCTATCAGACTCCGGTGCGAACGATGCTGGAGGTCTGTTGCCGTCCTTGGCTTTCGCGCTGTCCAATCTCACTTACTGCCACGTAAAGTTGAAGATTCCACACCGGATACGCGACTACCAATTCGCCCGCAAGCCCGCCAAGCCCCGGAAGCTAGTTCAACTTGATAGCTCGCCTAGCAGCTCCGCCGCCGAGGAAGGAGTCAAGGACGACGAAGAAGTCGAAGTCGACCAAGAATTTGAAGACGAAGACGTTGCAGACGACGACGAAGTCGACGATGACGGCCAAGAAAGCTCGTCGCCCGTGTCGTCAAGCAGCCTCTGGCGGCACCGCCGGCGTATAGTCTAGTCCCTGTAATTTCTTTTGTTTGTATATTTTTTACGACGATACGTGTGTACATCACAAGTGTTACTATATCCGCTATAAATGCAAACCCTTCTTCCATCTAGATCTATGGCTGCTGCACCACGGATTATAACTTGAAGTGAGCTGTGTGGATAGGAAGAGAATGGTTTTGCAAGAGAAATTCCGGTGATATCAACAGCGTTTTTGGGGCATCTCGGGCTGTCTAAAGGTCCCCCCGAGTCCTCTCGCATTGCGTTCAGCAGGTTGAACGAGCTCGGAATCGCGTATAAGGAAACCGAGATGTCACAGTGTGACCGCCGTTCCTCGCTTCCTGTTCTAGCCAAGAAAACATTCGGGTCCTCTGCAGCTTCAAATGCGTATTTCCGCGCTATTAATTTGGTTTACAAGCCTCTAGTACGTGCGTTGTGGTCGGGTTCGACTTGGAGCGGCGTTCCGTCGAGGCGTGTGACCGCGTATTGCTACGGTACCCGTGGAGATCTGTGATCCACACCGCCGCGCCGAGAGCACAAAATTAGCTCCATCTTACTCCATCTTTCCCACTTCCCACCACTATGCCTGCATTACCTGGACTAAGTCTCCTCCGTGTCGCTCTTTTTGCTCTTTTAACCGCACCCACCGCCCTCGCTGGCAGCTCATGCATTGCCTTTGACACCAACTGGAACCTCTTGGCCTTTGGCTTCAATGGAAAGGACTACAACGCCGGGACTTCCGACACTTGGGCCTCAGGTAGGACTTTTGCCACACATATTGCTTTGTTTGCTGAACGTTGTAAATTACAGGCAAGCCTACCGACATAACTAAATCAGGACGACCGTAAGTTGCCGTGAAAAATCGGTGTTGAGCTGGCACTGAAATTCACTGCTCTCAGGCCATTCGACGGCACGAACACAAAGTGCTACCTCGCAGAGGTGCGCTTTCCATCTGCTTTGACTTTACCTCCGACTCACCTTCGACGCCACAGTTCTTCAACGCCATATACGTCCTCGGCGCCGACTCGTCTAAACCCGCCGACATCTACATCTTCAGCGCCGGGAACAACAGCTGGTCAACGCAGGCCGTCACCGCTGGCTCCTTCGATCCTACATCCTACGAAGCTATTCTCGATCATGACACAAACCTTTTCTGTATGCAATATCGATCATTTGTCGTAATTCTCTTATGTTTTTCTTCCTCAGACGCCATCTCCAAGGGCGAAGTATTCTCTATGGACATGGGGGAGCTCGCTGCCGCCCAGTCCGGTCCCACTGAATGGGTGGATGGAGGCGCTGCGGAGATCACGACCACAAACTATGACCCCGTCATGGCTGTTGCGCAAAATCACATTTTCTTCTTCGGCGTCCCCGGGACCGCCGCGGGGAGCGCCCCCATCTTCGTGATTCACTGTACGTCTTGAGCGTTTCATACTGTTCCGGTCCATTTGCTCACCACCTGCTTTCAGTCGCGTTCTGGCAGCCGGGTGCTCAACAATTCGGAGATTTCCCCGACAGCCATGGGCAAGCTGTTTCCTTCTTCTTGGACACCGGCGTATGTTGTGCTGCACTCCGTATGGAAATGATTACTCAATGGGAATACAGGTCCAGCAGGAGATCGCCTTCATCCCCGACGATGGCTCCGCTACGTACATCGTCAACGTCGAGGTAATTTTTGATCCCCGTGTATGAGCCGCCAATTCACCGCGTTTGCAGACCAACTCGACCCAAAAGATCGCCGGACCCTCGACCGTAGACGCTGGCGCGACGTACTTTGCCTCCACCACCTCTCTCGTCCAGCTCTCCTCCTCCGGCTCGCTCTCGTTCCTGCCGTACAGCGCGACTGACAAGTCCGCCAACTCGGCCGCGAAGTGGAGCCCCGTCGCCAGCCTTAACTCCGTCGTAGGTTCGTCTGGGACTGCCGCCACTTCGGGCGCAGCCTCGGCGTCCGGGTCAAAGGGCTCGACGGCGTCCAAGACCGCTGCAGGGGGCACTGCCGCGACGGGGAGCGGAAGCGCTTCGGCACCGTCGGGCTCCGCTGGTGCAAGCGGGAGTGGCGCGAGCCGGACAGTCGCGTGGGGCTCGAGCGCTGTTCTGGGCCTCGTAGCCGTCGCGCTGTCGCTGCTCTAGAAGGTTGATCAGTGACTCTTTTCCGACTTTGGACTGTGCACATCGGATAGTGTACATGGACCTTCTATCCCCACATATCGATACCTACATACTACTCGATCTCATCCGTTGATCCATCCGAATAATATATTCAAACCGACCATTCTGGTCCGGCACCAGAATTGCTCCTCTTTGCGCGACCGCGCAGACCGCGCTCGATGCATGTCATAATCGACGGCTGCTTGGGCGTTTGACAGCTAAATCTGGAGCGGATTTACCGTCCCGTGCGCACGCGAGGCTACAACGGCGCCGTTCTGTCCCCCGTCCGGCGTCTCTTTCGATATGGCGCTCGGAGAAGCTATCAAGAGACTGGGGCAACACAAGATACGAGGGATAAAGCGTTCGTGTTATTTAATGCCGTGGTTCCTCAGGTAGCCTGAGGTAAACTTCCCCAGAGTTGAAAGTCAAGTTGATGCCTCCAACGGGCAGCGAATAGACTGGGTCAAAGCCTCATGCAAGCAGTTCTTCAACGTTTCAACGTTTCAACAGATGGTCGTCTAGAAGAATCAAAGACCTAGGAAAAGACAATGCAATGGAAGTTGGTGGGAAAGAGAGGAAAGTGGCTGTGCAACTTTGTTGATGGAACAATAGTGCTTCGCGTCTTTGTTCTTCTTCCATGAATATAAGACAATGCCGCCGGCTCGCCTTTCGCCCATCTCTCTCTGGCAGAGCGACCCATCCACCCTGCACTGTACGACTTTCACGATCTTTCTATCTAAATTGCACTCGCTGGGCGACCATTACACCGGTCTCTACTTGAATGGTTTCTTCGCCGATATTCCTGAGGGCCCGGGCCATCGCGTTCTGTACGCCATCTTCGCTGGTCGACTCGCTGTGTCTCACTTTATGCAGCCCTTATCATGCTTGCTAGTCTTGTGTGGATTGTGGTGCTCTGTGTCTATATGTTTCTTGAATGGGATATCTCGGACCCTGCAGAACGTTTGTCTCATTATGTTTCGCGTTCTCGGACACACTCTCAGCCGCCGACAGGTCCGATAATTGCAGTCATGCTCCTAACGAATACCATAACGGTGATTGTCAGTCCCTGACTTATGAAGCGCCGCGTCTCATTCTGTTTAGTTGATAATGCTTCTCGTCTTGCTCATCCTGCCGTTCCGACCGTGGTTAGACGCGGCACGATTTCTCTTCTTGATGATGGCACATATGGGTTCGTGCCAGAAACAACGCGCAGCATCTATACTTCATTTCTATCTAGGTGTTGCAGGCGCATTTGCATTTTGGAATCCCAGATTTCATTGCATAACGTCCAGTGAGCTATGCTCTTTCGTTATAAACGGTTTTTTCCCTGACGCCTCTCAGGCGCAGATGCAGAAGGTGTTTGCCGCCTCCTCAACATGTACATCTTACTTGCGAGTTGGATCATCCCGGTCCTCCGTGCGTGTCCCTGCAGAATGCTAGCTCTGAGCGCT